CATTATGCCAAAACCCACTCTCTTCTATATAACTTCACTAATTTAACAAATTCTTTATTTATGTTTCTTTGGAGATGGTTTAAGTTCTTTATTGTCTAAAAATTACCTTCCTTACAATTTTTTTTTCTATTCTTATTCTATGTTGTTTTTAAGTACTTGTGTGTGCTTAATTTGACAATATTATTTTCATAGTTATCAAATCGTGTATCGAAAGACGTATAGTTTTTTAAAAATAGTGTATCGTAAGATATGGCGTAATTTTAAATAATTAATTGTAAAATTATATGCTTTTGAAAAAAAATCATACGCTTATAAAAACATAACATTTCATTAATATTCAACTAGCTATTCAAGTCACCAATATAATTTACTAATATTAAAAAAATAATAAAGGGTATCAAATTAAATTAATGATACTTATATATACTTAAAATTAAAAAGTTATAATGTAGGGGGTATTAAATGTAATTCTTCATTCTTATAACCACAGTCGTAAGTCTACCCAGTACCCACGACTCACGAATGAACACAGAAAGCTAGAGAGAAGAGCAAAAGGCAATCGGCGATCGCGATGCCGATGCCGATGCCGGTGTAGAGAGAGAGAGAGAGAAAGAAGAAGAAGACGAACGGTGGTACCTAGGGTTTCATCTGAAATTTACAGGTTAGTATTGGTATTTTTTTCAATTTCAAAAATTTGTTTGATTTGCTTTTGCTTGGGTGTTTTTACTGATTTGTTGCCTGATAATTCTTGTCTTCTTCATCTCTGTTGCCTTTTTTTTTGGCATTTTCTCTATTCTCTGATTTGTGGGCTTCGGTGGCTTCATCTCTGTTGGCTTCGGTGGCTTCATCTCTTTTGCTTTTACTTCGGTGTCTTCATCTCTAGTGCGAATTAGGCTGTCAAAAAAAATAAATTAAATGACGACTTTGCGTATCGATACGATACGTATCGTATCATAAAAACGTATCGTGTATCGGACGATACAATACAAAAATGATACATAACTACAATCCGTATCAGTTTAGGTCTATATTGTGACGTATCGTACGAAACTAACAACTATGATCATTTTTCAACGATGAATGAGATTTGACTTGCACAAATTTAAGACAAACAAGGTAACGGCGTGCCAATATTAAAATATTGGAAAAGTTACATCCAGACTCTCTAAGGTTTGTCACTTAATTACTCAGATTTCTTGACATTTGAAATATTACACACAGATCCCCTAAAATTTGCACGTGCATAACACTTAGACCCCTGCCATCAAATGTTCGTTAATATATCTGTTAATAAATTACACCCAGATCTCCTGAAGTTTATCATCGTATAATACTTAGACCTCTCAAGTTTAAAATGTTATATTTAGACAAAAAATGTTGCAATCAAAGAATATTTTAAATTTTATAACCAAAATTCATGGTTTATTGTACCATTTATTGAAATAAAATCTAAAAAAAATTCATTTTTTTCTTAAAACATCGTAATTAATATACAATTTTACTATGTATTGGAATAAAATTAAAAAAATCAAACAAGAGGTCAAACTGTAATGGACATAATATCTTCAAACTTTAATTGGGGTAATTTGGTAGTTTAATTTGATCATTTAAAAAATCAAATTAAATTCCAATAGATAGTATAATTATATATTAATTATAATTTTTTAAGAAAAAATTAAATTTTTATTTTTAATTTTATTTCAATAAATCTCATAATCGAACATGAATTTTGATCGTAAAATTTAAAATATTCTATCTTTGATTAGAGTATTTTTGGTCTAAGTATAAATTTTACACCAATGGACCTTTAGTCCAATGGTACTCCTTGGCTTGGGAAGACTTTGCCTTTTTAAGGTCAAGTGTTCAAGTCCCCCTTCCCCTTTCCCTTTCCCTTTCCCTTTCCCTTTCCCTTCCCAAAAAAAAAAAAGAGTATAACATTTCAAACTTGAGGCGTCTAATTATTACACGCCTACAAACTTCAGAGGTCTGAGTATAATTTACTAACGGATATACTAACGCACATTGACGGCAGGGGTCTAAGTGTTACTCGCATACAAACTTTAAGGGTCTATATATAATATTTCAAATGTCAGGGAGTCCAAGTGTAATACTCCCTAAAATATTTGTTGGGTTTGGTTAGGGGGGTTGCTTTTTCTTTGTTTTTTTTAGTCAACTGTGAGGGGTGTCAATGTTTTTGTTGAAAATATTAAAGGGTGGGGTTGATACCCATTAAACAAAGCAACATAAAATAAGAATTATTAGTTGCCTAGAAAATGGAGGAAGTACCCTACTATTCAGTACCTACCAACTTGTTCACCAACCTTTTGACATTAAAGACACTAACGTGAACAATATCATGAAAACTATATTATAAAAAGGAAAAATATTTTGGTCTGGGTTCAAATATCTTAAAAAGTATGGGGTCACTGTGGGTCCATTCTAAAAGTATCGAGTCCACATCTAAAAATTGTGGGTTCAAATTTAATCACTATCACTTTGCACAAATAATTTGGAAGTCTCTAATCTCCCAATAGCTACGATTAATAGGAACCAAACTGCACCTTTATATCCATCCCATAGATAAGGGCTCACCACTTTTCGTGTGCAATTACCCACTAAGCTGTCACTTTTTTTCATCGATAATTACAATCTGGAGAGAAAAAAAAATGATATACAGAGAATAATTATATTGTGTAGGTATGATTGCTTCGTTTATGGGGCCAGTTTGACCATAGTGCTTGATCATGACTTGAACTCATATCAGATAGGTAACAATGAACCAAACTTATCGATTCACTAAGACCCTCATCAATCCTAATACAATTCTAAAATGCTTTTGTTTTTCACATGAATGCACAAAAAAAAAAAAGAGAAAGAAAGGACTTGGACGCTCCTATCTCCTATTAGTGAGGATGCCGGAGATTATGGGTATGGATCAACGCAAGATGATAGCTTTCTACGATGCCAAAGTGGTGATAATGCCTCTACTGACTCATGAAGACATATTGTTTTGAAAAATAAAAACTCTTAGTAATGTTAGGATTTGACCAAATGTATCAATACAAAAATGCTAATAACACATTTTTCTTATTCATTTTTTGTTACCAACTCATGTATGTAAGCCAATGCATCAGTGGATCTCACTAACATCTAATGGTTGTGGCTATGCATGATAGTCTGTAAAAAAAAAAAAGTTGGTCAGAACAACATTATTGTATCCATACCGTTACGCTAGTCTCAACAGAAGAATTCCTCAAGGTATAAAACTTTCTCACCTCGCATGGCTGCTTGTCCAATACTGGTAATGGCATGGTTGGAGCCAAGACAAAAGTACAGAACAGTGTTATTTAAGGCGTAAAGCGAACCAAAGCGACCAAGGCTCCTAACGCCTAGGCGAGAAGCGAGAAGCAAAGCGACACGCTTTACTGAAGCGAAGCGACACGCTTTACTGAAGCGAAGCGAAGAGTTAAAAAAAAATAATAAATATTTTAATTTAATTATTTCTAAACATCTAAGTTCTAATTTTATATATACTAAATATTTTTATGTACATTCGTAGACTTATACACGTACTGAATCACATTTCAGGACAACAAAACAGCAGCACAACAGCAAAATAGAACCACACTATCAGATTCAGAATAGCAAAACAGAAGAGGACAGCAAAACAACAACACAATAAAAAAAAAAGGAGCAGAATCAGAATCAGGAGAAAAAAAAACAGAAGCAAAAAAAAAAGAACCAGAACCAAAACAAGAAGAGAGAAGAAAAAAAAGAGAAATAGAAGAGAGAAGAAAAAGAGAAGACTAACCAGCAGCGATCGAGCCTCTGTCTAGAAGGAGCAACGATCAGCGAGATCAGTGAGGAAGGAAGGAGCAGCGACTCTGTCCAGTCCACCGAGAGGAGCAGCGACTTTGTCGATCATGTGAGGAAGGAAGGAGCAACGATCAGCGAGATCTGTCCAGCCTCCGGTGATCGTCTCTGTCCAGTCCACCGAGAGGAGCAGCGACTCTGTCGATTGTGTAGGAGCAGCGATCTCTGTGTTGTGTGTTGTGTTCTGTCATCTGGTCCAGCGATCGTGTAATCTGAGAAATAAAATTAGGGTTTGGGGTTGTATTTATGGGATACGGGGATAATTCAGTGTATCAACATCTTATAATTTGTTTTCCAATTGCCCAATCAAACGGTCCATAATAAAAATAAAACTTCACTCACATTCACTTCGCCTGGGGTCTTCCAGGCGAGATCCCTTCGCTTCGCCTCGCTTCTCGCCTAGGCGTGCTTTTTAAAACACTGGTACAAAAGTTGCAATTGAAAAGGCTATCAGCCAAGTATCAACTTATGCATCACCTAAAGCCAATAACAAGGTAACAGGTTCATGCTATTGGAAAATCCCAAATTTACATGCCCCATGAAGTACATGATAACAAATGATAATGCAGAAATAGGGCAAGAAAAATTAACAACAGTGGAAAAAGCAAGTAAATTCCAGGAGGATGAATAGAGTGGAGCTATTTTTAAGATATTCTGCATATAATTTAGTTGATAAAGACAGACAAGTAGGTTTAAGAAACTACAGACCACAAAATTCCAGTGCACCAGTCTTTGCTTTCTCATTCATAATACAAAGGGCATAAGAACTGAAAAGTCCAGTGCACCTACCTAATGAGAAGGCTGGTATAAGCCTTTGAGATAATGAAGTTTGAACTACTCTTGTGAAAACTCCATTGCTCCTGCCTTATAGAAGGACAATAATAGACCATCAGGATAATCGAAAAATGAAAAGAGAACCGATGAAATACATTAGGACAAGAAAATCTTAACAAAATTTCTTATGTTCATTCAGCACCAAATGTTTTTGAACTGAATTATAGCTTTCATTAGAGGTAAGATATCACCATCGATATTAGATGTACTCAACTAACAAAGAGATGAGAAATTTCAAATCATAGAGAGATTATGTAGAAACTTATACCCAGTGACTTACTGCCAACTGAATGTCAGAAGGGTGAATCTCTGGAAAATAGGAGAAACTCCTTTGCCTTCACTATTACAATAACAACTACGGATTCCTCTGAAACTTCAACCTCCTTCATAATGTCCCTGGGCTGAGTGGACCACACAAAGCATTAACCATAAATGTATGCTGTTTCATAGATCTAAAATACTGTAAGATGTAAGATGACTACCAAGATCAAAAAACTGCAAAGAGGATGACAACTAGCATTGCAAAATATTGGCTCATGTTAAATCCAATAATGTTGGGACGAAACTTTGTCGAGTTGAGTTGAGTTTATAATAGAAATTCTGCATTTAGGGAACGAGAACAACAAAAGATTTGTTCTTACTGATACTCTCCTTATTATACATAATCCATTACAGTAAAGAATATAGGTAATAATGCAATAGCAGGAATGGAACTTTAAAATGTGAGTGCTCTAGGCATCCCACAAAATAATGATAAGAAAACAGAACAGAGAAACAAGCACACATGAGTACAAGCTATTCTAAGGAATTTATCAGGTCTCTAAACTTAAAAACCAGCCAATCAGCTTTAGCAGCAACAGTCTCCCGAAGTTGCACTCCCCCATAGCAAATAAACAAATCAGCACCTCCTGGTTGTCGAGCCTACGCAAAAGACGGAAGGAACAACATTTTTTTGTAAGATAGAGTCCACTTTTACTAGATAACTTACAGGACACAAATTGGTGAGTCAAATGTTTAGAAAGACATAGACATAGTGGTACATCATAGACCAATTTTATATGATTTGCAAGGTGGTTTGTTTCAAAGCAGTCGGGTCAATGAGTTTTATCGAATATTCATATTTAAGTAAATTATGGCAATTAGAGCCTGAAAAATCATTTTTTTTTCCGACATGTATTCAGATGTATCTAGTTGACCGCTTCAAATACAAACATTATGCATATTACATATGAAAAATATCAAAGATAGGATAACATTTGAAACCACGAAAGAAAAACGCCAGCAAGGGAGGGAGGAGGGTTTTGATCAGTTTGGCCATGAGGATCTGCCAAAAGTCTACAACCAAGAATGCAATTTAAGATTCTCACCTCAAGATCAGTTGCGCCATCCCCAATCATGATTAATGACTGGTATCCATGAGCCTGAAGAGTTAAATAAGTTTTACCATATATATTTTTCAAAAACAAATACCAAATTGACTGACCATCTACAGTGCTTCGACAAGCTTTTGTCTACAATTCTCAAGAAGACATGAAATGAACAACTTCACTAACCTTCCTTATCTGTTGAACTGCAGTAGCTTTTCCTCCACTCCTTGAAGTTGGCTCATTTGTATCAAACCCCAAAAACTCTCCAGAGCTCCCAAACAGTAGTTTATTGGCAAAAATGTTTTCAAGCGGTATGCCAAGAATAGATGCAACGGGCTTCAAGGGAATGACTGTGGTTAGCAATTATTACATCAATCTAGACGTGCAATATATGTCTTAAATACACCACACACATTGTTATCGGGATTCAGAAAAACAAAATCAATGGATGAATACAATGATGTAAAATGTATTATTAGGAGAAAAATGATAACCTGGGTATTGAAATGATGAAGTCATTACATACCATATCAGCGAAATATGAAATCTTCTTGAATACATTGAAGAACTTAACTCGACTCACACAGAGAACCTTTCATTTGGGTACGGGCAAGGGAACAAATCTTTTACTCGAACTCGATAAGATAAACAATATGACCATAAGCTTTCAAATTTTACTTCATTTTTTAAAGAGCTTCTTGACCCCTCAGATCAATCACTAAATTCGTATGGTTAGGAAGATTCAATCAAGTAAGGCGTTAACCTTGAGTTTTTGTTTTCAATAAGTTAATCTTGAGTTACAAAAATGTCACCTTTCATAAGACTGCTGTCAAATCAAATCCGTGCTAATTTATGTGGATCAGTATCCCGTTTATTTGACAAAACATAATCACATTCAGAGTATTTGGCATCTTAAATCTTAAAACACCCACATGATAGTGGAACTTGTCCCAGATGAATTTCTGTGAGCAAAATACTCAATATAGAAACCATCACATGATGAGAAAATTTGTCAAGAGGGTATTAGCACACATTACAGAAGAGTTTTTGAGAGGATTTATAAAACTCTTAGGAAAGAGCCTATTAGAGAACTTTTTGAGAGGATTTCAAGAGGGTATTAGGGCCTATTAGGAAAGAGCTTTATAAGTTTAACTTTTAGGGGTCATCAACCAAAAGATCAGGTTACTGAACCCAGGAAATCTATGTTGAACAATGTTAAGGAAATTCATTTAGATAAATGCCATAATGGAAGAACAAAAGAAGCGGAAAATTAAACAATTTCCACAACGTTCAACAACATACATTGATCATTTGGCGAAAGCCTCCAGAGACCAGATAGACACTTGTACCATTATCCCTCAGCTGCTTGATCAATTCATCTAATCCAGGAGAAATTCTACAAATTGAAGAGCAGAAACAGAATGAGTTCATCAAGCAAATTAAAACCATTATACTCACAAAGGTTTCACATATCCAAAAAAGGGTAAGAGTTGGTGCATGGTAAAGTAATTCATCATTTAAACTCGGGCGGTGTGTTTCTACTGTGTTGTAAAGAAAATAGTCCGCCCTCAATTAGATTTCGTCAAGTAAATTTGTTAAAGCATTTTTCAAGATAAGGTTCATAGTCTCCATCATATCTTGGCAATTACAGCAATGCAATGCCTGGATTGCACACTTCCACTTTGGTGCTAAATACTATGTGAAGACAATGACCGATTTAATGAGACATGGGAATTTTGAAGCCCCCAAAATCAAATAAAGAAGCAACCCAAGATGTACGATGTGCTTCTGATAAGAAAATGCAGTTCCCACACCTTGGAGGTCTCTTCTCAAGGAAATCCTGGACTTGAGCCAGCGAAGGGTTAAATAGAGAGAGTCTGGCAGCCAAAGCTTCCTCAAAAGGCACAGAGCCATTCATTGCCCTAGCAAAAGCCAAGGAAAAAAGAAATGCTAAACTCTTCGATTATCAAAACAGCTAAGCATCGTCTACTATGTAAGCAGAGAGAAATCCAACCTAGCAGTCCACTCTGCAACTGCCTTTCCAGCTCCACAAAATTCTGCAAGTTCATCAATACCCTCATCTAGGCAGACTGTGCTGTCCACATCAAAGCATACGGCTTTGGCATTTCGCCACACCTCAAGAACCTCTATGACAACAAGAAAGCACCCATCAAGCAGAACACTCTATTCTTGAAAGGTCATGGACCATCATATAAAATTCACTAATCTCATTCTCATCCTTCAACTTAACCGATAGTTTATTTAATTTAATCAGGAATACTAAAACCTTTCAATGAAAATAACACAAATACCATCCTTCAGCTTAACCGATGGTTTATTTAATTTAATCAGAAATACTAAAACCTTTTAGTGAAAATAACACAAATATCAACTTCGTTACCCAGTCAAACCTAATTTCACCGAATTAAAGATTACTAATAAAACCTAGTTTTCAACATATAAAAAGCGTGAACATATATTGAGCTGATGAATATAACCTTTGGATGGTACTGTGTTGTCAAAGCCGCCCATTAGTGAGGCTTCTAGTGGCTGAACTGAAGCAGCTACCGAATTGAATGATTTTGGTTGTTTCATCATCCCAATTGGACTAACAGACACTCTTTTCGTCCCTGTCTGAATAAATTTAGGAACAAAACAAGAATATTGTTGCCTACAATAAGCACGAACCGGGCTAATTCGTGGACTAATCAACCCTTCCATCAGATTATCTGTCATTAACAAATTGAAACAGACCTATTTAAACAAAATTGCAATCCCAATTACTTGCAACAGATTGCAAAATAATAATAAAAACACCTCTAATTATTACACACAATAACACAACACAAAAATGATCAGTAATCAAATGATTCGTGCCGAAAAGAAACCAAAACACATCAACACAACAACCCTTTAGCCAAAACCCATCATCTAACAATAGAAAATTTCAACCACAAACTAGAAATTTGTGGGTTTATAAACATGAGCATAGAAAAACCTTGAAACAATAAATGTGAGAAAAATAGGAATTTAATCGATTATGAGTTGAAAAAATAAGAAAATAAAGGGAGATTTGTGTACTTTTTGGGCTTTTCCTTTACTTTCTGCTTAAATCTCTAGGTTCTGCAACTTAGATTTGCTACCAGATTCAGCTGGTAGTTCGTTTCGTTATATACATTTCACAGCCATTTCTAGGTTTAAACTTTGAGAAAAAGTTACGGTATGTTGCAGCGTAGCTGAAATAGTATGTACGTGAACTTCACCTATCACCTTTTTGATCCAAGGGCTATGATGCCGCCACGTATATTTTTCAAAACTCAATTGAATATTCTCCAAATTAAGGTTGTGAGTCTGTGACGTCCAAATTTTTTTCAAAATTTATGTTACGTAATGGCGAAGGCTTTTGGCATGTTGGGGTTAGGGATGTCAATGGACCGAATCGGGGGCGGGGGGTGTAGTCTCCATCCCCGTACCCGCTTAAAAAAACTCCGTCCACCCTCGTTAACGAGTATAATTTTCATCTCCACCCCAGTTCGCAAGTAAATTTCTAATCCCTGCCCCCGCTCCCGTCCCCCATACCCGCCCAAGCCCAAGCCCAAGCCCAAGCCCAAGCCTAAGCTCAAGGCCAAAAAAATTAATAAAAGCCATCAAGCCCAAAAAATTAAATTGTCTGAAGCTTCTAGATAGTTATTCAACTAATTCAAAGAAGTTTTTATTTGTATTCATTTTTGGGTGATAAAGGTGTTGGAAACTCTTAGATCACACAATAGTTCCTGTAAAATGGGTACAGGAGGTAACTATTTTATTAAATTGATTGCAGGCACATGACCAATGATGCATGGCAACTTTGAACACACAGAATGTTTTGCATAAGCTAATGTTGAAAAGTGAAGAGCCGTGTGAACTAATCAGTCTGATGAATCAGGATTGATAGCATCTTTATGAATCAAATTTCTAGAAATGATTGTTCATGTAAATCTCGGTAAAAGTTGCTTTGAATTTGTACCCTGAAATTGTTTTCAATGGCTTAAAAGTGATTTTCACTATGGGATGCAGTTGAGAAAAAGCATGATGAATATTTTCAAATGCTCATATGCCTGTTTAAAATGTCACACTTGGACAACATTAAGGTCCTCAAGCCATTAATCTACAACAAGGATGATCTACTACCACTCATGGATGGCTCCAACAAGCCAAGGGTTTATTCACATATCCCCCTCTTTGTTTTCTTAACCTCAATTTTGTTGAATGAGAAACAGTTCCCCTTACTCCTATTGAAACAAACAGATCAAAGTTGATGTACTTTAAAGTAGAAACATCTTGCTGCTCATATCAGACCTTGATCTCTAGCAAAACGAGATTCGAGTTCTTGCTCATATTTATGATTCCGGCATAAGGAACAAAAAATCATACAATTTAATTTCCAACGGATCATATTCCAAGAATCGACGAAAACAAATCACAGAGAGAAAAAAAAAGGAGAAATGGAGAAAAGGATAAATCACTGAGAGACTTACCTAGTCAATGGTGGGCCTACAATAATGGGGAGAGATTGAGAGAGACGATGGAGAGAGAGAGACAGAGCGTAAAGGAGAGAGATGTTCAGGCCTGTGGAGGCAGCGCTGATAGGAGAGGAGTAAGCTAGGGCTTTAATTTTGTATATATATAACGGGCATACAAGGGCGGGGGAAAAAGCATAGTTTTAAATTCCGGCCCGGATATCAACCCGGGAAAGGGACTAGGTCAATGGGTCACTAGTTCAACCATTGGGTCACTGGTCGGACCAGTTATATAATAAAAAAAATAATAAATAGGCTAAAAAATCACAATAATTGTAAAAATTACATGCTTAATGTACATTAGATCAAACAAAAATCCCAAAATTATTAAACATATATCCAATATCTAATAATATCCAACAAACAAATCTCAAAGTAAAGAACTTTCACCTTCATCAAATTAAAAATTGAAAACTAAACATCTCAAATTTATCAAAATTTAAAAAAAATTAATAATCTTCTCTTAAACCATTTGAACCATGAGACCAACACTCGGAAGAACATAGCCCAAATCATATTCATCATGCCAAATCATATTCATCATCAAACACAGCAAGAAAGTTTACAAATTCTAAATATGGAATTCATGATCAACAGCAATTGTGTGGCAACTCCATTGGCAGTTTTGCCTTCTTTTCCACAGCTGGTGGTTCTGCACCATCATCTTCCATTGATTTCCAACACCACCACCCAGGTGACCAGATTTTAAGAACTAAAAGCCAAACCCAAGGCTTTTCTCTTTCCTTCCTACTTTCAAAGTTCCAATGCTTCTCTGATTTACCCTCCAAGCCAAAAATTATACAAATTATAAAATACAACTAAATCTGATAGATGTTCAAATTGGTAATCTGATAGATGTTGAAAATTGAAATATGCCAAAATTTATACAAATATAAATCAACTAAACCTAAAATGGACCAAAAACAAAACTAAATCTAACATAATAGCAAAAACTAGAGAAAGTAGAGACCGAGAGACACAGAGAAGACGATGTATATACCTGGTCCTGATGTGTCTCAGACTAGAGATATCTGCCGAACAAGGAACACTGGTCTCGATTGAAGGATCAAACGATCAAGGAAGATTGAAGATCTGAGTCTTCGAGTGTGAGAGAGAGATGAGTCAGTCGTCGTCGTTGTCGTCGAGCAGAGGAGAGCAGGCGCACTGAGGAGTGAGGATCGATCAATTTTGGGCAAAATGCCCTACGGTCTGTTTTTTATACTATTTATATTAACCCGTCCGGTTTTTTCAAAATCGTCCGGTCCCTCTGGTTAATTATAAAACCGGCAGGTTTACTATGTTTTCCAGGTCAATTGCTCGAACGGTTCCCCGGGTCAACCTGCCGGGTCAAAACGGTTGTTAAAACACTGGGGAAAAGTGTCGATTTCTCCCTGCATTTATTCCCGTACCGGTTTATCCGAGTATTTTTGTATATGTTCATCATCTAATACGTATGGTCCATTTTTGGTCCAATTAAGATAAATTTGAACGAATACTCATTTTTCTCCGCTCCACTGTCATCCCTAGTGAGTGAATTCATATTAAAAAATTGTCCACTCATATCAAATTCATTTATTAATTTTTATTTAATAAATTGTGTCATATTGAATTCATATTATATATAAATCACGTGAAAACTGATATATAAAAGAGTCATGTGTGTTTATTAATGATGTCATGTCAAATCAATTCATTACTAAACAGATGGTTTAAAAAAGACTCAATGTTTGGGTCATATCATATTTTGGTATCCCTAATTAAAATTAACTTAGATGTCAACCCGACAAAGAGACTGAGTCAATGAGTCACTGATCCAATTATTGGGTTAACTGATCGGATTGATTATATAATAAAAAAATATTAAAAATAATAATTGTGCTAAAAATATAGTATTTATAACCATAACATAAGTCTAGAAAAATAATTCTAGAAGCATGAAACCACAAACTAAATACATTTATTCTATTATACATCAAAATTAACCAAAAGGTTTCACATATCTAAAAAAGGGTAAGAGTTAGTGCATGGTAAAGTAATTCATCATTTAAACTCAAATGATGTGTTACTACTGTGTCGTAAAGAAAATAGTTTGCCCTCAATTAGACTTCGACAAGTAAATTTGTTACAACATTTTTCAACATAAGTTTCATTGTCTCCATCATATCTTAGCAATTACAACAATGCCTAGATTGCACACTTCCACTTTTGTGCTAAATATTATGTGAAGACAATGATTGATTTAATGAGACATGAGAATTTTGAAACCCCTAAATCAAATAAAGAAGCAACTCAAGATGTACGATGTGCTTCTGATAAGAAAATGCAGTTCCCACACCTTGGAGGTCTCTTCTCAAGGAAATTATGGAATTGAGCCAATGAAGGATAAAATAGAGAGAGTCTGGCAGCCAAAGCTTCCTCAAAAGGCACAGAACCATTCATTGCCTTGACAAAAGCCAAGGAAAAAAGAAATGTCAAATTGTTAAATTATCAAAACAACTAAGCATCGTTTACTGTGTAAGTAGAGAGAAATCCAACCTAGCACTCCACTCTGCAATCGCCTTTCCCGCTCCACAAAATTATGCTAGTTCATCAACACCCTCATCTAGGCAGACTATGTTGTCCATATCAAAGCATACGGCTTTGGCATTTCGCCACACCTCAAGAACCTCTATGACAACAACAAAAGCACCCATCAAGCAAAGCACTCTATTCTAGAAAAGTCATGAACCATTATATAAAGTCCACTAATCTCAGACTCATTCTTCAACTTAACCTATGGTTTATTTAATTTAATTAGAAATACTAAAACCTTTTAGTGAAAATAACACAAATATCAACTTTGTTACCCTATCAAACCTAATTTCACTGAATTAAATATTATGAATAAAACCTAATTTTCAACATATAAAAAGCGTGAACATATATTGAGCTGATGAATATAACCTTTGGATGATACTGTGTTGTCGAAGCGGCCCATTGTTGAGGCCTCAAGTGATAGAACTGAAGCAGCTACCGAATTGAATGATTTTGGTTGTTTCATCATCCCAATTGGACTAACAGACACTCTTTTCATCCCCGTTTTGAATAAATTAACAAACAAAACAAGAACATTGTTGCCTACAATAAGCACAAACCGAGCTAATTTGTGCACTAATCAACTCTTCCATCAGATTATCTGCCACTAACAAATAGAAACAGACCTATTTAAATGAAATTGTAATCCCAATTACTTGCAACAGACTGCAAAATATTAATAAAAGACTGCAAAATATTAATAAAAACACCTAATGATTACACACAATAACACCACACAAAAATGATCAGTAATCAAATGATTCACGCCGAAAAGAAACCAAAACACATCAACACAACAACTCTTTAGCCAAAACCCTGTATCTAACAATTATTAATTTCAAATACAAACTAGAAATTTATGGGTAAAATAGAGAGAGTCTGGCAGCCAAAAGGCACAAAACCATTCATTGCCCTGGCAAAAGCCAAGGAAAAAAGAAATGTCAAACTATTAAATTATCAAAATAACTAAGCATTATCTACTGTGTAAGCATAGAGAAATACAACCTAGCACTCCACTCTGCAACCTCCTTTCCAGCTCTACAAAATTCTGCAACTTCATCAACACCTCATCTAGGCAAACTGTGTTGTCCATATCAAAGCATACGGCTTTGGCATTTCACCACATATCAAGAACCTCTATGACAACAAGAAAACACCCATCAAGCAGAGCACTCTATTCTTGAAAAGTCATGAACCGTTACAAAAGATCCACTAATCTTAGACTCATCCCTCAACTTAATTGATGGTTTATTTAATTTAATCAGAAATACTAAAACCTTTTAGTGAAAATAACACAAATATCAACTTCGTTACCCTATAAATCCTAATTTCACTGAATTAAAGATTAATGATAAAACCTAGTTTTCAACATATAAAAAGCGTGAACATATATTGAGCTGATGAATATAACCTTGGGATGATACTGTGTTGTCGAAGCGGCCCATTGTTGAGGCCTCTAGTGGCTGAACTGTAGTAGCTACCAAATTGAATGATTTTGGTTGTTTCATTATCCCAATTGGACTAACAGACACTTTTTTCATCCTTCTCTAAATAAATTAACGAACAAAACAAGAATATTGTTGCCTATAATAAGCACAAACCGAGCTAATTCATGCACTAATCAGTCCTTCCATCAGATTATCTGTCATTAACAAATTGAAACAGACATATTTAAACGAAATTGTAATTCCAATTACTTGCAGCAGGCTGTGAAATAATAATAAAAACATCTAATGATTACACACAATAACACAACACAAAAATGATTAGTAATCAAATGATTCGCGCCAAAAAGAAACCAAAACACATCAACACAACAACCCTTTAGCCAAAACCCAACATCTAACAACAGAAAATTTCAAACACAAACTAGAAATTTGTGGGTCAAAGAGATAGAGTCTGACAGCCAAAACTTCCTCAAAAGGCACAGAACCATTCATTGCCTTGGCAAAAGCCAACAAGGAAAAAAAGAAATATCAAACTATTAGATTATCAAAACAACTAAACATCGTCTATTATGTCAGCAGAGATAAATCCAACCTAGCAGTCCACTCTGCAACCATCTTTCCAGCTCCACAAAATTCAACAAGTTCATCAATACCCTCATTTAGGCAGACTGTGCTGTCCACATCAAAGCATACGGCTTTTGCATTTCACCACACCTCTAGAACCTCTATGACAACAAGAAAGCACTCATAAAGCAGAGCACTCTATTCTTGAAAGGTGATGAACCGTTACATAAAATCTACTAATCTCAGACTCATCCTTCAATTTAATTGATGGTTTATTTTATTTAATCAAAAATACTAAACCTTTCAGTGAAAATAACATAAATATTAACTTCGTTACCCTATCAAACCTAATTTCGCCGAATTAAAGATTATTAATAAAACCTAGTTTTCAACATATAAAAAGCGTGAACATATATTGAGCTGATGAATATAACCTTTGGATGATATTGTGTTGTCGAAGCAGCCCATTGTTGAGGCTTCTAGTGGCTGAACTGAAGCAGCTACCGAATTGAATGATTTTGATTGTTTCATCATTCCAATTGGACTAAAAGACACTCTTTTCGTCCCTGCTTGGATAAATTTAGGAACAAAAAAAGAATATTGTTGCCTATAATAAGCCCGAGCTGAGCTAATTCGTGCACTAATTAACTATTCCATCAGATTATCTACCATTAACAAATTGAAATAGACATATTTAAACAAAATTGCAATCCCAATTACTTGCAACAACCTGCAAAATAATAATAAAAACACCTAATGATTACACACAATAACATTACCCAAAAATGATCAGTAATCAAAAGATTCACGCCGAAAAGAGACCAAAACACTTCAACACAACAACCCTTTTGCCAGAACCTAGCATCTAACAATAGAAAATTTTAAACACAAACTAGAAATTTGTGGGTTAAAGAGATAGAGTTTGGCAGCCAAAGCTTCCTCAAAAGGCACAGAACCATTCATTGCCCTAGAAAAAGCCAAGGAAAAAAGAAATGTCAAACTGTTAGATTATCAAAACAACTAAGCATCGTCTACTGTGTAAACAGAGAGAAATCCAACCTAGCAGTCCACTCTGCAACCGCCTTTCCAACTCCCCAAAATTCTACAAGTTCATCAATACCCTAATCTAGGCAAACTGTGTTGTCCACATCAAAGCATATAGCTTTGGCGTTTTGCCACACATCAAGAACCTCTATGACAACAAGAAAGCACTCATCAAGCAGAGTACTCTATTCTTCAAAGTTCATGAATCGTTACATAAAATTCACTAATCTCATACTCATCCTTCAACTTAACCGATAGTTTATTTAATTTAATCAAAAATACTAAAACCTTCCAGTGAAAATAACATAAATATCAACTTCATTACCCTATCAAACCTAATTTCACTGAATTAAAGATTATTAATAACACCTAGTTTTCAACATATAAAAAGCTTGAACATATATTTAGCTGATGAATATAACTTTTGGATTGTACTGTGTTGTCGAAGCGGCCCATTGTTAAGGCTTCTAGCGGCTGAATTAAAGCAGCTACTGAATTGAATGATTTTGGTTGTTTCATCATCCCAATTGAACTAACAGACACTCTTTTCGTCCCTATCTGAATAAATTTAGGAACAAAACAAGAATATTGTTGCCTACAATAAGCACGAACAAGGCTAATTTGTGCGCTAATCAACCCTTCCATCAGATTATCTGCCATTAACAAATTGAAACAAACCTATTTAAACGAAATTACAATCCCAATTACTTACAACAGACTGCAAAATAATAATAAAAACACCTAATGATTACACACAATAACACAACACAAAAATGATCAGTAATCAAATGATTCGTGCCGAAAAGAAACCAAAACACATCAACACAACAACCCTTTAGCCAAAACCCATCATCTAACAATATAAAATTTCAAACACAAACTAGAAATTTGTGGGTTTATAACCATGAGCATAGAAAAACCTTGGAACAATAAATGTGAGAAAAATAAGAATTTAATCGATTATGAATTGACAAAATAATAAAACAAAGGGAGGTTTGTGTACCCTTTGGCTTTTCTTCTACTTTCTGCTTAGATCTCTAGTTTCTGCAACTTAGATTTGCTACCAGATTCAGCTGGTAGTTCGTTTCGTTATATACACTTCGCAGTCATTTATGGGTTTAAACTTTGAGAAAAAGTTACGGTGTGTTGCAGCATAGCTAAAATAGTATGTACGTGAACTTCGCCGACTGCCTTTCTGATCCAAGGGCTATGATGCTGCCACATATATTTTTCAAAATTCAATTGAATATTCTCCAAACTAAGGTTGTGAATCTGTGACGTCCAATTTTTTTTTAAAATTTATGTTATGTAATGGTGAAGACTTTTGGCACGTGGGGTTAGGGATGTCAATGGACCGAATTGGGGGCGGGGGGTATAGTCTTCATCCCCGTACTCGCTTAAAAAAACTCAATCCATAATAGTTAACATAATAGCTCCTATAAAATAAGTAGAGGAGGTAACTGCTTTATTAAATTGATTGTAGGCACATGACCACCAATGCATGGCAACTTTGAACACACAGAATATTTTGTTTAAGCTATTGTTGAAAAGTGAAGAACCGTGTGAACTAATCAGGTAAGATATCACCATCGATATTAGATGTACTCAACTAACACAGATATGAGAAATTTCAAATCATAGAGAGATTATGTAGAAACTTATACCCAGTGACTTACTGCCAATTGAATATCAAAAGGGTGAATCTCTGTAAAATAAGAGCAACTTTATTTTCCTTCACTATTACAAATAGCAACTACGGATTCCTCTGAAACTTCAACCTCCTCCATAATGTCCCTGGGCTGAGTGGACCACACAAAGCATTAACCATAAACGTATGTTGTTACATAGATCTAAAATACGGTAAGATGACTACCAAGATCAAAAAAAAAGCAAAGAGGATGTACTCAACTAACACAGAGATGAGAAATTTCAAATCATAGAGAGATTATGTAGAAACTTATACCCAGTGACTTACTGCCAATTGAATATCAAAAGGGTGAATCTCTGTAAAATAGGAGCAACTCTATTTTCGTTCACTATTACAAATAGCAACTACGGATTCCTCTAAAACTTCAACCTCCTCCACAATGTCCCTAGGCTGAGTGGACCACACAAAGCATTAACCATAAACGTATGCTATTTCATAGATCTAAAATATTGTAAGATGACTACCAAGATAAAAAAAAAAGCAAAGAGGATGACAACTGGCATTGCAAAATATTGGCTCATGTTAAATCCAATAATGTTGGGACGAAACTTTGTCGAGTTGAGTTGAGTTTATAATAGAAATTCTGCATTTAGGGAACGAGAACAACAAAAGATTGGTTCTTATTGATACCATCCTTATTATATATAATCCATTACAGTAAAGAATTAGGTAATAATGCAATAGCAAGAATGAAACTTTAAAATGTGACTGCTCTAGGCATCCAACAAAATAATGATAAGAAAACAGAACAGAGAAACAAGCACACATGAGTACAAGCTATTCTAAGGAATTTATCAGATCTCTAAACTTTAAAATTAGCCAATCAGCTTTAGCAGCAACAGTCTCCCGAAGTTGCACTCCCCCACAGCAAATAAACAAATCAGCACCTCCTGGTTGTCGAGCCTACGCAAAAGACAGAAGGAACAATATTTTTTTGTAAGATAGAGTCCACTTTTACTATATAACTTACATGACACAAATTGGTGAGTCAAATGTTTAGAAAGACATAGACATAGTGGTATATCATAGACCAATTTTATATGATTTGCGAGGTGGTTTGTTTCAAAGCAGTCGGGTCAATGAGTTTTATCGAATATTCATATTTAAGTAAATTATGGCAATTAGAGCCTGAAAAATCATTTTTTTTTCTGACATGTATTCAGATTTATCTAGTTGACTGCTCCAAATGCAAACATTATGCATATTACATATGAAGAATATCAAAGATAGGATAACATTTGAAACCACGAAAGAAAGACGCTAGCAGGGGAGGGAGGAGGGTTTTGATCAGTTTGGCCATGAGGATCTACCAAAAGTCTACAACCAGGAATGCAATTTAAGATTCTCACCTCAAGATCAGTTGCACCATCCCCAATCATGATTAATGACTGGTATCCATGAGCCTGAAGAGTTAAATAAGCTTTACCATATATATTTTTCAAAAACAAATCTAAAACAAACACCAAATTGACTGATCATCTACAATGCTTCAACAAGCTTTTGTCTACAATTCTCAAGAAGACATGAAATGAACAACTTCACTATTCTTCCTTATTTGTTGAACTGCAGTAGCTTTTTCTCCACTCCTTGAAGTTGGCTCATTTGTATCAAACCCCAAAAACTCTCCAGAGCTCCAAACAGCAGTTTATTGGCAAAAATGTTTTCAAGTGGTATGCCAAGAATAAATGCAACGGGCTTCAAGAGAATGACTGTGATTAGCAATTATTACATCAATCTAGACGTGGAATATATGTCTTAAATACACCCCACACATTGTTATCGGGATTCAGAAAAAAAAATCACTGGATGAATACAATGATGTAAAATGTATTATTAGGAGAAAAATGATAACCTGGGTATTGAAATGATGAAGCCATTACATACCATATTAGTGAAATTTGAAATGTTCTTGAATACATTGAAGAACTTAACTCGACTCACACAGAGAACCTTTCATTTGGGTAGGGGCAGGGGAACAAATCTTTTACTCGAACTCGATAAGATAAACAATATGACCATAAACTTTCAGGTTTTACTTCATTTTTAAAGAGCTTCTTGACCCCTTAGATCAATCACTAAATTCGTATGGTTAGGAAGATTCAATCAAGTAAGGCGTTAATCTTGAGAATTTTTTTTAGTAAGTTAATCTTGAATTACAAAAATGTCACCTTTCATAAGACCGTTGTCAAATCAAATCCCTACTAATTTATGTGGATCAGTATCCCATTTATTTGACAAAACATAATCACATTCACAGTATTTGGCATCTTAAATCTTAGAACACCCACATGATAGTAGAACTTGTCCCAGATGAATTGTTGTGAGCAAAATACTCACAATAGAAACCATCACATGATGAGAAAATTTGTTAAATGGGTAGAGTTTTTGAGAGGATTTATAAAACTCTTAGGCAAGAGCCTATTAGAAAATTTTTTGCGAGGATTTCAAGAGGGTATTAGAGCCTATTAGGAAAGAGCTTTATAAGTTCAACTTTTAGGGGTCATCAACCAAAAGATCAGGTTACTGAACCTAGGAAATCTATGCTGAACAATGTTAAGGAAATTCGTTTAGATAAATGCAATAATGGAAGAACAAAAGAGGCAAAAAATTAAACGGTTTCCACAACATTCAATAACATACATTGATCATTTGGCGAAAGCCACTAAAGACCAGATAGACATTGGTACCATTATCCCTCAACTATTTGATCAATTAAGCTAATCCAGGGAGAAATTCTGCAAATTGAAGAACAGAAACAGGATGAGTTTGCCAAGCTAATTAAAACCATTATACTCACAAAGGTTTCACATATCCAAAAAAGGGTAAGAGTTGGTACATGGTAAAGTAATTCATCATTTAAACTTGAGTGGTGTGTTTCTGCTGTGTTGTAAACAAAATAGTCCGCCCTCAATTAGATTTCGACAAGTAAATTTGTTACAACATTTTTCAAGATAAGGTTCATAGTCTCCATCATATCTTGGCAATTACAACAATGCCTGGATTGCACACTTCCACTTTTGTGCTAAATACTATGTGAAGACAATGACTGATTTAATGAGACATGGGAATTTTGAAGCCCCCTAAATCAAATAAATAAGCAACCCAAGAAGTGCGATGTGCTTCTGATAAGAAAGTACAGTTCCCACACCTTGGAGATCTTTTCTCAAGGAAATCTTGGACTTGAGCCAGCGAAAGGTTAAAGAGAGAGAGTCTGGCAGCCAAAGCTTCCTCAAAAGGCATAGAACCATTTATTTCCTTGGCAAAAACTAAGGAAAAAAGAAATGTCAAACTGTTAGATTATCAAAATAACTAAGTATTGTCTACCGTGTAAGTAGAGAGAAATCCAACCTAGCAGTCCCCTCTACAACTGCCTTTCCAACTCCACAAAATTCTGCAAGTTCATCAATGCCCTCATTTAGGCAGACTGTGTTGTCCACATCAAAGTATACGACTTTGGCATTTCGCCACACATCGAGAACCTCTATGACAACAAAAAAGCACCTATCAAGTAAACCACTCTATTCTTCAAAGTTCATGAACCGTTATATAAAGTCCATTAATCTCAGACTCATCCTTCAACTTAACTAATGGATTATTTAATTTCATCAGAAATACTAAGACTTTCAGTGAAAATAACACAAATATCAACTTCGTTCCCCTATCAAACCTTATTTAACTGAATTAAAGATTATTAATAACACCTAGTTTTCAACGTATAAAAAGCTTGAACATATATTGAGCTGATGAATATAACCTTTGGATGGTATTGTGTTGTCGAAGCAGCCTATTGTTGAGGCTTCTAGTGGCTGAACTAAACCAGCTACCGAATTGAATGATTTTGGTTGTTTCATCATCCCAATTTGATTAACAGACACTCTTTTCGTCCCTATCTAAATAAATTTAGGAACAAAACAAGAATATTATTGCCTACAATAAGCACGAACCGGGCTAATTCGTGCACTAATCAACTCTTCCATCAGATTATCTACTACTAACAAATAGAAACAGACCTATTTAAACAAAATTACAATCTCAATTACTTGCAACAGACTGCAAAACAATAATAAAAACACCTAATGATTACATACAATAACACAACACAAAAATGATCAGTAATCAAATGATTCGTGCCAAAAAGAAACCAAAATACAACAACACAACAACCCTTTAGCCAAAACTCATCATCTAACAATATAAAATTTCAAACACAAACTAGAAATTTGTGGGTTTATAAACATGAGCATAGAAAAACCTTGGACCAATAAATGTGAGAAAAATAGGAATTTAATCGATTATGAGTTGAAAAAATAAGAAAATAAAGGGAGATTTGTGTACCCTTTGGCTTTTCTTCTACTTTCTTCTCAGATCTCTAGTTTCTGCAACTTAGATTTGCTACCAGATTCAGCTGGTTGTTCGTTTTGTTATATACATTTCACAGTCATTTCTGAGTTTAAACTTTTCAGAAAAAATTACGGTGTGTTGCAGCGTAGCTGAAAAAGTATATCCGTGAACTTCACCTACTGCCTTTCTGATCCAAGGGTTATGATACCCCCACGTATATTTTTCAAAACTCAATAGAATATTCTCCAAATTATGGTTGTGAGTCTGTGACGTCCAAATTGTTTTCAAAATTTATGTTATGTAATGGTGAAGACTTTTGGCATGTTGGTGTTAGGGATGTCAGTGGACCGAATCGGGGACGGGGGGTGTAATTTCCATCCCCGTACCCGCTTAAAAAAACTATGTCCATCCCCGTTGACGGGTATAGTTTTCATCCCTATTCCCGTCCGCGGGTAAATTTGTAATCCCCGCCCCCGTCTCCGCTTCCCCTGTACCTGCCCAAGCCCAAAAAAAATTATAAAAGCCATCAAGACCAAAAAGTTAAATTGTCTGAAACTTCTAGATAGTTAATCAACTAATTCAAGGATGTTTTTATTTGTATTCATTTTTGGGTGATGAAGGTGTTGGAACCTCTTTGATTAAACAATAGTTCATGTAAAATAGGTACATGAGGTAAATGCTTCATTAAATTGATTGCAGGCACATGACCACCGATGCATGACAACTTTGAACACACAAAATATTTTGCTTAAGCTAATGTTAAAAAGTGAAGAGTTTTGCGAACTAATCAGGTAAGATATCATCATCGATATTAGATGTACTCAACTAACATAGAGATGATAATTTTCAAATCATAGAGAGATTATGTAGAAACTTATACCCAATGACTTACTGCCAACTGAATATTAGAAGGGTGAATCTCTGGAAAATAGGAGCAACTCCTTTTGCCTTCACTATTACAATAGCAACTAAGGATTCCTCTGAAACTTCAACCTCCTCCATAATGTCCCTGGGCTGAGTGGACCACACAAAGCATTAACCATAAATGTATGTTGTTTCATAGATCTAAAATACTTTGAGATGACTGCCCCTATCAAGATCAAAAAACTGCAAAGAGGATGACAAATGGCTTTGCAAAATATTGGCTCATGTTAAATCGAATAATGTTGGGACGAAACTTTGTCGAGTTAAGTTGAGTTTATAACAAAAATTCTGCATTTAGGGCACGAGAACAACAAAAACTTTTTTATTATTGATACTCTCCTTATTATACATAATCCATTACAATAAAGAATACGGGTAATAATGCAATAGCAAGAATGGAACTTTAAAATATGGGTGCTCTAGGCATACAACAAAATAATGATAAAAAAAATGGAACAGAGAAACAAGCACAAATGAGTACAAGCTATTCCAAGGAATTTATTAGGTCTCTAAACTTAAACTCCAGCCAATCAGCTTTAGTGGCAATAGTCTCCTAAAGTTGCACTCCCCCATAGCAAATAAACAAGTCAACACCTCTTGCTTGTCGAGCCTATGCAAAAGACAGAAGGAAAAACATTTTTTTGTAATATAGATCCACTTTTGTTAGATAACCTACAGGACACAAAATGGTGAGTCAAATGTTTAGAAAGACATAGACATAGTGGTACATCATAGACCAATTTTATATGATTTTCAAGGTGGTTTGTTTCAAAGAAGTCGGGCCAATGAGTTTTATCGAACATTCATATTTAAGTAAATTGTGGCAATTAGAGCCTGAACAATCATTTTTTTTTCGACATGTGTTCAGATGTATCTAGTTGACCGCTTCAAATACAAACATTATGCATATTGCATATGAAAAATATCAAAGATAGGATAACATTTGAAACCACAAAAGAAAAACGGTAGCAGGGAAGGGAGGAGGGTTTTGATCAGTTTGGCCATGAGGATCTGCCAAAAGTCTACAACCAGGAATGCAATTTAAGATTCTCACCTCAAGATCACTTGTGCCATCCCAAATCATGATTAATGACTGGTATCCATGAGCCTGAAGAGTTAAATAAGCTTTACCATAAATATTTTTCAAAAACAAATCTGAAACAAACACCAAATTAACTGATCATCTATAGTGCTTCGACAAGTTTTGTCTACATTTCTCAAGAAGACATGAAACGAACAACTTCACTAACCTTCCTTTTATAGTTGAACTGCAGTAGCTTTCCCTCCACTCCTTGAAGTTGGCTCATTTGTATCAAACCCCAAAAACTTTCTGGAGCTCCCAAACAACAGTTTATTGGCATAAATATTTTCAAGCAGTATGCCAAGAATAGATGTGACGGGCTTCAAGGGAATGACTGTGGTTAGCAATTATTACATCAACCTAGACGTGCAATAGACATGTCTTTACTTAAATACACCACACACATTGTTATAGGGATTCAGAAAAACAAAATCACTAGATGAATACAATGATGTAAAATGTATTATTAGGAGAAAAATGATAAATTGGGTATTGAAACGATGAAGCCATTACATACTGTATCAGTGAAATATGAAATGTTCTTGAATACATTGAAGAACTTAATTAAGTCCACTCAAATAGAGAACCTTTCATTTGGGTTGGGGCAGGGGAACAAATCTTTTTACTTGAACTCAATAAGATAAACAATATGACCACAAGCTTTCAGGTTTTACTCCATTTTTTAAAGAGCTTCTGACCCCTCAGATCAATCATTAAATTCGTAGTTAGGAAGATTCAATCAAGTAATGCATTAATCTTGAGTTTTTTTTTAGTAAGTTAAACTTGAGTTACAAAAATGTCACATTTAATAAGACTGTGTCAAATCAAATCCGTGCTAATTATGAAGAGCAGTATCCCGTTTATTTGACAATACATAATTATATTCAGTGTATTTGGCATCTTAAATCTTAGAACACCCACATGATAGTAGATCTAGTCCCAAATATTCCTATGTTCGATTTTTGTTTAATGTTCATTCCTTGTTGGAATGGAGGAAAAAAAACTGTTTTAATCTTAATGGATGTAATTGTTTCTTATAGGTGTAACTATTTTTAGTATAGACAAAATAATTATATTTCTTCTTTTATTCGATCATTTTTTTGAAAAATTCATACGTTCGATTTTGTGTATGTTTGGTCGTTGTTGGAATGAATGGGAAAAAAAACTGCTTTGGGTTTAATGGGTGTAACTGTTTTTAAAATTTGTGTAACTATTTTTTTCAAATTGACATTAATGTACGTTTTCAAAAAAAATGTTACTATGTAATTGTTTGTTAACTGTTTTATTTTATTCTCAGATTATTAATCAAAGATTGTTTTATGTTTTTCGTTTTTTGGGATGAACGGGGAAAAAAATTGTTTGAGATGAAGCAAAGGAGACCAACTGAACAGGCCAACCGAAGGAGAAGTAAGCTGCCAGCTAGAATAATCAACATACAAAAAAACCAGCTAAACAGTGATGTGAATAGTGACGTGAACAATGAGATTTTCTGTGTGCTGCAATTTGAAGAACATTCCAACCAGTGTGAATTCCTAATAAGTTCCTTTGCGTGCAAAATTACATGTTTGAATAGCAGTTTTATCTATAACCCTTTTTCTGGCCAAACAATCAGCCACCATATTGCTTTCTATGTAAGTGTGAGCCACTGAAGAAGTCAGATTACTCAACTTCCTATAAATTCGAGCAATCAACCCTCTAATTTTCCATGGAATGATTAATTTACCAGAAATCATATCCAAAAGCACTTGAGAGTCTGATAAACAGTTACATGAATAAGTATCGCCAACTAAATAGTAGCGCCCAAATGGTTACACCAACATATTATCCAAACTGCTTAAAACAAGAGATCACACGAAAGAGTAATTTTATTTTTTTTAACAACAAATCAACGCTTTATTTCATTGTTCAAAAAAAGAATTACAATGTAAGAAAAGGCAGACAAACCCTGCCTTATACCCAATCCAATCAAAACAGAAATACAAAAAACAATAAGCAACGTGCAACATTTTTCTTTCGTCAGCTTTTGCACTCCTTGTTTATCCTGAAGCATCAACATTTTGGCTCACAAAGGAAGCTTGAGATCATGAGAGAAGTCTGTTGATAAGCCATCCCTCACTGCCTAGAACCCATATTAGACAAATAATTTCCTCCAAATAGTAGCAGAATAATCACACTGATTAAGCACATGCTATACAGATTCCATTGCATGGCCACATAATACACATTTACTTACTAGCATCACCTCAATCCTTTGATAATTTGGATCAACTAACACAACATTTTATATATCTTGCAACACAGAAGCCTTGCACTAGGACAAATAGCCTATTTCCAAATTACAGAAGCTACACCAAACAGTTACATCAAACAGTTAAAACAAAGTAATTAAGATTTCATCATGAATAGGTTAACAAAATACTGTAAAGCATTTGAAGCAACTAATGTTTATCATATGAATTTGAAATTCCATATGTAAAACAATATTCATTAAAAGCAGAGCTTGTTACAGCCCCAAGAGCTTTCAGATACAAGGAGCTCAATTCAACCACAAAAGGCATTTGGCACTATTTACAAAGCCTTTTTCATAGAATCAGGAATTGTTACTACAGTGAAAAGATTAAAGCATTCTCATGAAGATAAAACTAAATTCTTAGATGAATTGCCCGTTATTGCTTGTTTGAGGCACAAATATTCATTTTAATTCCAATGTTGGTGTGTTGAAAAGGGTGAATTGCTACTTGTGTTTGAGTTTATGTCCAATGGGAGTTTTGATAAGTTACTATACCCAAAATTTGAATTGAGTAACCCATTGAAATGGCCATACATATACCACATTGGAATTAGTTTGGCCTCTGTTCTGACTTACCTCCATTAAGAATGAGAACAACAATTAATCTACAGAGACAAAAAAGACCGTTAACATTATTAATCCATAGAGACATAAAAGACCATTAACATTATGCTAGATTCAATAATAGATACTCAAGATAGTTACAACACAAATAAGATACAAATATTCAATAGTTAATCAATAAAGTTACTGATAACAAATAAAAAAATTGAATCCTTAAAATCATAAGAATAGTTATGCAACACAGTTAAACCCATTAAATTTTGAATATAAACTGTTTATATTTGAATCTCAAATAGTTACTTAAAACAGTTACGTAACTATTTTTAATCAAAAAAATCATGAACCATAAAAGTTGCCAAAACAGACTTATAAGAATTGAATCCATAAAATTAGAATAATAGTTACACAACACAGTTAAACCCATTAAATTTTAATATGAACTGTCTATATTTGAATCTCAAATAGTTATTTAAAACAGTTGCGTAACTATTTTTAATCAAAAAAATCATGATCCAAATTATTTTTTTTCATATTCATATGCTATAATACGTCTGCAAATTCTTAATATAATTTCACAAAATTAGGGTTTTAGGATTTGGTTTTATTTTTGAATCAACTTACACAGGTTTAAGAAAAAAAAAACTAAATAATCAATGAATGAAAAAAAAAAATAGAATGTCACCTCAAATTTCCGGTGAAGAAGTTGCCAGAGACGCTGAATAGGTTCTGCACGATGTCGGTGACAATGAACAGTCGGATTTGGAACTATCGTAGTACTCTTTTTTGTGGAATATTCAATGGTTAACATAGAAATAATAAACAATTATGTCATTCTATGGATATCCCATTGCCATAGAATCAGGATGCTGAAGAATATGAGTTTTGATAATTAAATTCCCTTTTTTACCTCCCATTAATTGATTTTAGCCATAATATACGGAGGAATACAAATAGATTATACGTTCCATTGTTTACCGAATGGCAATACTGGTATTTTTTAAAAATATGCAATTTACCTCAAATAAGTTTTTGTACTTTTACTCTAATAAGTTTAAAAAATTGTACTGACTTCTAAATCTGCGAGTCATTTTTGGACCAAATGGTAACATGGTGGCCATGGGTAGCTCAATAGCCCAACCATAGGACTATGGGCCATGTTTTTTTGGTTCACTTAGCCTGATTATTGGGCCAAATTAAATCCACGGAGGTGGTCCATTGGGTATTCTTAAGCTTAGCCTGATGATTTGGCTCTATTTATTTCATAATGTCTTCTCAGACTTGAGTTGCAGTCAAAGCAATCCATAGAATGAAAATGCTAACTAATCAAGCACGGATACAGATATGAGATACGGATATGATACGATACAGATACAGTAATACGACAAAATCTAAAAAAGTAGAATATGAATATGGCTATAATAAAATATTTTTATTATTTTTATTATTTTCAACCAACTTAACACTTATATATTTTAATTGTTCTTTAACATATGATAAAGAAAATTAATAATTCTTTTTAGTTTCAATAAAATATATATCGTGTCACTGTGGTATATTCACCAAGGAAAGTGACTAATTAAATAAATCAAAGCTAATATTTACCTAATATTTAGAAGTAATTTTTGTTAAGATTATAATGTAATAACTTTACTATATGGTCTTTTGACATGTAATTGTAGATAATATTTAAAAAACACTCATGTGCTTTTAAAATAATATGAAATTTTTGTTAATGTATTGTATGATATGTGAATTCGAAAAGAGATGTTAAAAATTCAATTAAAAAATTATATATGTTGGTCTACTATAAAAATATCTGTGAATATCTTAATATTTAATTATTATCAGATACGTAAAAGATATATCGGATACGTATTCTCGAATATCTGACGAGTATCTTATCTGATTGGTTCAACGAACCCACACATTTTCATCTCCAAATTGGCTTACGATCCAAAAAAAAAAATTGACTAAATTTCTATGTTCAATCCACTCTTAGATATGAGTTTATTAGAAGGACTGATCGAAACCCTGGGATCTCTCTTCACTGATTCTCCTTCTACTTCTTCAATTGAGTCCCGGGAAAACCCTAGCAATCGAGCGATGGACACAGAAGAGATCGCCAAGGCCGTTAGGGCCGAAGAGTGGGGTTTGGTGGATGATGCTGTTTTGCATTACCAGAAGGCCTAGCGGATATTGATAGAGGCCAATTCAACCCCTGTTCCTTCTTACATCACCTTTAGGTATGGAAATTTTCCTTCATCTGTTAATTTTATGTCGTTGCATTTAAACTTTAAACCACTTTTGTAGTATAGGCTCGATTATAGTTTAGGCAGTGATGGGACATTTCTAGGCACTCCCAGATGATGACA